ATTAATATGTTACAAGTTACCCTAAAATTTAGCAGCTTAAAACAACAAATATTTATCTCAGTTTCTGTGGGTCAGGAATTCAAGTGAGGCTCAGAAGGGTGCCTCTGGCTGAAGATCTTCAAAAGACTGTCATTTGGGGCTCTCATCTGAAGGCTACGCTGGGAGGATATGTTCCCAAACTCACTCACATGGGTCTCTCCATAGATCTGCCTCATGAGATGGCAACTAGCTTCCCCTAGGGTGAGCCATCTGAGTATCCAAAACAGAAGCCACATCCCTCTGTAACCTCACCTTGGAAGTAACATCCCATTACCTCAGCCTCATTCTATTTATTAGAATCAAGTCACTAAATCCAGCCCAAGCTTGAGGAGGAGATTATAAAAAGGCGTGGATACCAGGAAGTGTGGATCATGCAGGGTCAGCTCAGATGACACTGACCACAGTGGGCTTGTGGGTGGCTAGGGTTGGGTGGCTAGTATAGCTTCATTTGCATGTCTGGCAGATGAAAATCTGGTTGGCGTAGGGAACTTTAACTGGGATGGGTCATCTCTGTTCCATCACTGCTCCATGAAGTCTCTCATCATCTAATAGCACAACCCTTGTCCTTAGGATTCCAAAGAGGAGCAAGAATGGGCAAACCTCAATATGCAAGCACTTATCAAACCTCTGCTTATGTCATATTTGCTAATGTCCCATTGGCCAAAGAAATGGCGATCCCAGTTTCAAGGGATGGAGAAATAGACTCTCTCTCTTGATGGGTGAAGTGGAAGAGTCACATTGAAGGGTGGGGGGGGCATATTTTCTGCTGCTAGTGGCCAAAGGAGACTGTCCAGATTTCTGGCTTCTGCCTAGGATATAGACATCTGGAAAGAGCATAGCTCCCATTCTTATAATAAGAAGAAAATATGGGTAATCTATAAAATCATAACTTTTCTTGAACTCACCAGAGAACTAAGATCATAGAGCAACCAACTAGCTTATATATAAGACAAGTGCCTCAAGGGAGACACGAAGTTGTCCCTGGATCACCTGTGGCAAAGCAAGAACGAATATGGGCCCACCATGCCAGCAGTTAAAATTTCAGCAAGAAGTTTTAATGAAGTTCTAAAGGCTGAGTGTGGGATAATATGAGAATATAGAAGCACTGAGGGCTGGAGACCTAAAGGTAGTTGGCCTTCACTTGCAAGCTCTTCCCTACAAACCTCCACTGGATCCTCACAAGAAATAATGGGGGTAGGGAAGGAGACTGGAGAAAGCCTCTCTCAGTGGTATAGGCCTGCAAGGGGAAAGCTGCTGATACAGAAATAGCACGAAGCCCCAATGGGACCCTATTTCCTTAATGAACAAAAGCCTTAAGCCACTTAAAGAGAAGTGATGCAAACCCTGTTGTTCCCAGATACAGGTGCAGATCCACTGTGGCTAGAGAAAAGGGAAAAGGGAAAAAAAAACTTCCATTCTTGGGGGAAGGGCAGGTAATCATCCTGAGCTCAGACCATTAAAGGCATGTTACCAACGGGGAGGTGCAGGATCACTGAAAAAGCACCACCCTCAAGACCTAGGGATACAGGGCCTGCCTAAAACTAAGGTTGGTTTAGGACAACTCCTGCCCCCTACTCATCGGGTCACTACGACCCAAGTAATAACAGTAGTCTACTACTAAGGGAGAGACATGGGCATGGAGAGAGATCCTCCCTGAGATGCAGGCACACAGGAAAGGTCTAAAGGCAAGGGTGGTGCAAGAATATTGAGAAAAATGATCTGTAAAACCAATGCCTACATTAATCCCAAGGTAATACTAGAGAAATTTGAAGTCTATGGTACAATGAAGATAACCACAGCAACAACAAAACCTAAATCCAGCCCAAATTCTGACTAGATGGACCTTCCCCCCTTCCTCTCTAATGATTTATTAAAAGAGCAGCCATGATTATTTCCAGGAATAAATATTCTTTATCTCAGTTTCTACTCTCCTACATACAATATCTTACATTCAGCCAAAAATTATTAGATGCAAAACAGAATAAACAATCTGCTGTTAAGAGACAGAGCAATAAAAATAAATCTAGACTCAGCTGACCCAGTTGTTAGTACTATCAAATAGGGAATTTAAAATAACAATGATTCATATGTTAGAGAGGATGGTGGGAAGTGTGAACAACAGGTATGAACAGATGGGGAATTTCAGCAGAAAAATGAAAACTAGAAGAGTCAAATGGAAATGCTAGAAATAAAAAAGAAAACATAACTGAGATGAAGAATGCCTTTCATGGGTTCATCAGTAGACCTAACAGAAGTAGGGGTTAAACAGACCTAACAGGGAAGGGGTTAAAATTAGTGAACTTGAAGATAGGTTAATAGAAGTTATCCCAACTGAAACACAAAGCAAAATAAAGATTGTAAAGGGACACACATATAGGGATGGTAGAAATTTGTAACGTTTTTCTATCTAACACAATCTATCTTCTGGTCACTATTTATATATCACACCATGCAAAATATGTTCATCCTCATTCCAAGACCTCCAAATGTCTTATCCCAAATTATGGCATCAAATCCAGGACCTCAAGTCTTCTGTATCAGGTTCAGATGTGGCTGAAGCTCCTTGGGTGCAATTTGTTTCTTGATCCAGAGACCTGTGAGCTAAATGGTAGGTTATATGACCATCACCCCCCCCCCACACACACACACACAGACACTCAAAACACACACACACAAATGGAAAGATAGGGTAGGGACTGGAGAACTGCAATAGACACTTTCATTTAAAAGAAGGGAGGAACAAGAGGCACATATTAGTCACTGTTCCATAATAATTCTGAAATCCCACAGAGCAAATGTTGTCAGATCTCCCTGCTCCAGGGGCAGGATGTTTCTTGATTGGGTCACAGTTCTACCTGGGAACAGCTTCCCAGTCCATTTTAATATATTGTTCTTGGGTCTCCTTTCTGAGACATCCTTCTTTTTCCATAAGAAATGGCAGCTGAATAACTTTCTCTGCTTGCTTCATGTTCATAGAAGTTAGAAAAGGTAGTCCAGAGACCACTTTTCATTTTGGACTGTTTCAATTCCTTTAAGTCCAACCTGGAGGTAGTAAAACTCTATTAGAAACTTTATAGGTGTTCTATGAATCTGGTTTGTATTTACTCCATGCCCCAAATGCCACACTGACCATTCTTTTTAAGACAGGCCCCTTCTCTACTTTATCAATATGTCAGGTTACTGGACGATGTCATGAAGTTTTTAGAAGCCATCTGGTTTAGCTGAGAGAGTTTCCCAAACACCAACTTAAATATTCCACACATTTTAACAAAGGGTCTTATAGCCACACCCATGATTTGATCTCTACCCTGAGGCCACTTTTCACCTTGAGAATATTTTGATGTCCGGAGAGACTGGAGATGTGAGAAATAGTTATTTTCCAACCCAGCAAGTCCTGGCTTTTTAAATATTTCTTCTGAATTCTGCTTGCAAATGGAACAGTTATTTCCTTAGTTCATCTCTTTTTGTACCTTACCATATGCAGCTAAAGAGAAGCCAATTGATATTTCCAACATTCTGTTGGAAATCTCCTTAGCCAGATCCACAAATTCATCTGGTATATTCTCTATCTTCTCACACAGCATGGTAACTGTTTTATTCTTTTCCTTAGTAAATAACATAAGCTGCCATCTTTTTCAGCCTTTCTTAACAGTTTTCCTCATTGTTTTTCCAGTCTCCACCTGCCGCCCAGGCCCAAAGCTAATGCCACATGTCTTAGGTTTTGGTACAATATCTCCGCAAGCATACACTTTTAGGTATTGCTTAGCATTTTCTGTGCAACAAACTACCAAAAACTTAGCAGCTTAAAACAAGAATCATTTTATTTATCCCCCAATTCTGGTTGGCCTGGTTAACTGGTATGGCTCTTTTGGTGTGGGCCAGTTTGGCTGGGGCTGGAGGTTGAGGAAGGCCTCACTCTCATGTCTGGCAGTTGGTCTAAGAGGCCTCATCTGTGCTGGCTCATTTCTGTTCCATGTGGCTTCTCACCCTCCAGCTGAGTACTCTTGAGTTTCTTCACAGGAAGGTCTCAGAATTCCAAAGAGCAGCAAGAGAAGATAAGCCTCAAGGCAGACTTTTCTCCAGGCCTCTTCTTGAATCTCTTTGCTAATGTACGTTGGCCAAAGCAAATCACATGGCCAAGCCGAGAGTCAAGGAGTAGACAGAGTTCTACCTCTTAATAAAAGAAAAAGAGTAACATTGCAAAGGGGTGTGCATAAAAGGATGGGAGAGGTCTGTGGCTATTTTGCATTGTACCACAATTAAAGAAGATAAAAATAGAATGTTGTGGAAACCAGTATGAATGATAGGATTATATTCATGTGTTCATGTAAGAGTATATCTGCAGATGTGGGTATATATAAAACCATAATGACATTAAAACTGTGGATTCGCGGGAGGATTCAATAGGAAACATATTTGACAGACACAATTATATTAAATTCAAAAAAGAATTTCAATTCAATTATTCCTTCTGTTGTGCAATGTGTTCTGCCACAAACACCCTACAGAACTGAGTGTAGGTTTACACATCAAATACATTATTTTGTTGTTCTTCCTTTCACTTTGTTGCCACTTTAAATTGCCTAATATAACACAGTAAACATGACTGTCATTTACATAATTTTGCTCGCTCCATCTATAAAGAATTGGGTAACAATTTGCCTTATCACCCTTTCTACAGGAAGGCTTTACCTAATGCATCAAACTGACAGCATTTTCCCCAAACTGACAGGATTCGATTCTATTTTGTGAAGCCATGCAAATATGAAAAGTCCCTTTGAATCAATGCATTCTTAGAGGGTCTCTTGAATAGTTTTTCTCATCTCAGGTGCAAGAGCCTGAAAAATGCTTTTTATTATGCAGTGTATTCATGTAGGGTCTGTCTTGGATAGATTTCATAATACACATGTAGACATGACTTCTGTGATAAGGCTTTCTCTTTTTAAGAAACAGGGTTACTTTCATGTATGAATATTGCGATGCATACTCAGAACTGATTTCTGAGTGAAGCCCTTTCCACAGTCACTGCATTTATAGGGTTTCTCTCCAGTATGAATTGTCTGGTGCTTATTGAAATTTGACCGGTCAGTGAAGGCCTTCCCACATTCGGCACACATGTAAGGTTTCTCTCCTGTGTGAATTCGCTGATGTACTTTGAGATGTGGTTTCTTGGAGAAGGATTTTTCACATTCAGGACATTTATAAGGCTTCTCTGTAGTATGAATTCTCTGATGTGTAATTAACTCTGACTTCTGGATGAAGGCCCTGCCACAGTCAGCACAAACATAGGGTTTCTCTCCAGTATGAATGGTCTGGTGTTTATTGAAATTTGACCGGTCAGTGAAGGCCTTTCCACATTCAGCACATATGTAAGACTTCTCTCCAGTATGAGATTTCTGGTGAGTATTGAGATTTGATCTGTTGGTAAAGGCCTTCCCACATTCAGTGCATATATAGGGTTTCTCTCCTGTGTGAATTCGCTTATGCATCTGGAGTTGTGACTTAGAAGGGAAAGACTTCCCACAGTCACTGCATTCATAAGGCTTCTCTCCAGTATGAATTCTTTGATGGGCAATCAAGTGTGCTTTCTGGATGAAGGCCTGCCCACATTCAGTACATATATAAGATCTCTCTCCTGTGTGAATTCTCTGATGCATCCTGAGTGTTGATTTTTGGGTAAAGGCTTTCCCACACTCACTACATTTGTGGTGTCTCTCCCCAGTATGAATTTTCTGATGCACATTGAGGGCTGAGTTCAGGGAGAAGCCTTTCCCACATTCACTGCATTCATAGAGTTTTTCTCCAGTATGAGTGGTCTGATGCCTAAGTAGAGATGACACCTGGAAAAATGATTTTCCACATTCACTGCATTTATAGGGTTTTTCTCTAGTATGAGTTTTCTTATGCATAATTAATTCTGAATTATGGATGAATGCCTTCCCACAGTCAGGACATATGTACAATTTTTCGTCTCTATGAACTCTCAGATATATACTGAGTAGTGGCTTCTGTGTAAAAACATTTACACATTTGCCAAGTTCGCGAGGTTTTTCCATAGTATGGATTCTCTGGGGTGCAAAGGGGTGTGACTTCTGGGTGAAGATCTTCCCAAACTCAGTACACACATTTGTTTTCTCCCCAGCAGGAAATTTCAGATTGTGACTGAATGCTTGTTTAAGGCTGAGGACTTTTCCACACTGATTACTTTCACAGAATTGCCCTCCTGTAGGAGTATTTGCATGGCTAGTATAAGAAGAGCTCTGAGTGAAAACTTGACCACGTCCAATATTTTTATCAAAATTCTTTGTTGCAATGTTTTTACTAGGAGTATGTAAGTCTAAATTCTGCTTAAAACTCTTTCCAAATGAGTCACGTTTATGGGGTCTTTTCTGTGAAGGAATACGATTTGGGCTTGAAGGCACAAATTTTCCACTGTCTTTATATTCAAAGTCCCACTCTGTATTCAATATTTTCTTATTGATAAAAACAGCATGACTCAGAGGTTTGCTCTGTTTTTCCTGATATCTTTTAATCTGTTCAGAATCTTGCCACAGTTCTTCTAAAATGGAATACAATGAATCATCTGTTGTATCTTCACCCTCCATTTCACTATGAAATGAAGCTTTTCCAGAAATTCTTCTTTGTGGGGTCTTAATCCCAAGCCTCCCATCTAAAAAGAGAAAGAAAAAGTAAAATTAACACAAAGAATAGATAGCAGGGTATTAAAAGGTACACATAAGCTAATCCAAATTGAACACAGGGAAACCAGTATATATGATGATGATAATGACAGTGATAACAAGAAATACACATATAGCACTTACTATGTGCCAAGTTCCTGCATGACACTTATGATGTTCCAAGCATTGTTCTGAGAAATACATACACACATTGGGGTGCCTGGGTGGCTCAGTCGGTTAAGCGTACGACTTCAGCTCAGGTCATGATCTTGTGGCTCCTAAGTTCAAGCCCCGCGTCAGGCTCTGTGCTGACACCTTGGATCCTGGAGCCTGCTCTCCCCCTCCGCCCCAACTCTCAAAAATAAATAAACATTAAAAATGTCAAAATTTCACATTATTGAGAATTTCAAGACAGTGGGGCGCCTGGGTGGCTCAGTCAGTTAAACGTCAGGCTTCAGCTCAGGTCATAATCTCACAGTTTGTAGGTTCCAGTCTTGCCTCAGGCTCTTTGCTGACAGCTCAGAGCCTGGAGCCTGCTTCGGATTCTGTGTCTCCCTCTCTCTCTGCCCCTCCCCCACTCATACTTTGTCTCTCTTTCTCTCTCTCAAAAGTAAACATTAAAAAAAGTAAAAAATAAAAAAAAAGAAACACACACACACTCACTCAATCCTTTCAAAAGCCCTTTGAGGTATTTTCTATTATTAGATATTTCTATTATTATCTACCTATCGTAGATAAGGAAAGTAAAGCTCAGAATGGTTATACGTATAATTTGCACTAAAACATAAGTTATTAAGCATTGGAGATCGGAGTTCAACATAACCAATCTAGCTCTATTTTGGTAGGAGGCTCGGATATAAAGTAGGGTGGACTGAAGTTTTAAAAGACAAAGGTTTTAAGGGAAAATAATCTGTGGATAAACTAGGTTTGGAGGAGGTGATTCAGAGTCTAAGTCCTCATTAGCTTTTGATTCTAAATCCTCACTAGTCTTGTTCCTTTTTGTTTATTAGCAACTAGACCAAATTAATGTGATCAAAAAGCCAATTTAATTTGCCAGCAGAGTAGATCATTAAAGTTCTCATCATAAGGAAAAAAAAACCTTTTTTTTTTTTTTTGGTATCTTATGCAATGGGTTTTAACTAAACTTATTGTGCTGATCTTCCACGATGTATTTAAGTTAGATCATGATGCAGTACACCTTAAATCTATACAGTGATGTATGTCAATCTCCATAAAATCGAGAAAAACTTACGCCTATAGGAAAAATACTGGGGGTGATAGCTATTCTGGCCTATATAAAAGAATAAGTAGATATCCACACTCCAACTCTCCATCTAGGTATAACTGTTTTGTTGGACCTAAAATCATACAACATCTAACAAGAAGCATAAAATCAGAGAGAAGATCGGCTATCTGTGGTAGACTGAAAGCTGTCCACTACAACCTATTTCAGCATTCTTTTGCAATAACAGGAAAGTAGCCAGGCATATGGCTGCCCAGTCATGATAGCATTTCTCAGCCTCCTTTGAGAAAATTGGTTTGGCCATGTGACAACGTTCTCATCAACAGAACGTGAGAGAATACGATAGCTGCCACTTTCAAGTCAGCGCACTGCGACAGTAGGCATGTTTTCTCTATACCTTCTTCAGCCTTCTTGCTTTACTAAAACCTGGCCTTGGCAGCAACACAGATACAAATGTGCAGGTGGCACACACACACACACACACACACACGCACGCACAAACCCAAGAGATGGCCGGATTATGTAATGGAAGGAACCTGGATTCCCAAATAAACATGAGCAACAAGGTTTTCCAAAGGGCTGTGATATTAGCAACTTTATCTGAGAGAGGAATATTCTTCAGTATTTAAGTCACTTTACCTTATAATCTCTTTGTTACTGCAAATAAGCTTTAATATAATTAAAAAAAATTTTTACATTTATTTATTTATTTTTGAGAAACAGAGTGAGACAAAGCATGAGTGGGGGAGGGGCAGAGAGAGAAGGAGACACAGAATCTGAAGCAGGCTCCAGGCTCTGAGCAAGCGGTCAGCACAGAGCCTGATGTGGGGCTTGAACTCATGGACTGTGAAATCATGACCTGAGCTGAAGTCAGACGCTCAACCGACTGAGCCACCCAGGTGCCCCAGCGTCAACATAATGAATACACTATTTTCACCCAGAGTGGGAATCACAGATGTTTCCATGACCAGTATAGTGCATGAGACATATGAGATTCTTGATAACGTTAAAATGGAAAAATTATACATTATTTCCTCAGCAAGAGATTTTAGATTGTGAGAATGCTCTGAGTCATCAAGTTCAGTTTTACCCCGTTGGTCACTTTGATGCTGTATTCTGGATACATATCCCAGCCAAAAATCTCATCCTTTTATTCTTACATCGTGTTTTTATTCTCACACGCTTGGCTTTAATGTATTCTGGAGATATTAAGCACTGGATTCCGAGTCATGGTTTTAGAAGTGGTTCTGTTTTTCACTTTAAATTATATATATTATATATATATATGTATATATATATATATAATTATAATATTATACATATTAATATACAGAAGAGGTTCTGCTTTTCACTTTAAATTATACATATAATTATATGTTATTATATTATATATTAATATAATATATATAATGAGTATAAATATAAAACTTACAAATAATTAAGTTAGCTTCTAAACCCCTGCTGTATTGGACAATATTTACATCACCAGTACCAATTTTTAATGCAAAAAATCTGCAATAAAAAGCTTCCCTACACTTTTCCTGAGCCCACAGATTCAATGAACAGTACATAAATGAAGAGTCGACGGTCTAGATAAAACCTGTGGTGCAAGCTTGCATTCTATTTGCCACTCACAAAAATGCCTCAAAAAGTCCAGTTTATTCTTAAATCAAAAGACACATTTATACTTTCTTCCTCCATTTAGCCTGCTTAGCACTTAATTTCTTTTGTGCCACTGGAAAACATATTTATGCCGAGAGCTCTTCCTCTCTAGTCAGGAATAAGACAGGGATGTCCACTCTCACCATTACTATTTAACATAGTGCTGAAGTCTTAGCTTCAGCAATCAGATAACAAAAAGAAATAAAAGGTTTAAGAGACAAAACAGATGAACATAAGGGAAGGGAAACAAAAATAATATAAAAACAGGGAGGGGACAAAACAGAAGAGACTCATAAATATGGAGAACAAACTGAGGGTTACGGGAGGGGTTGTGGGAGGGGGGTGGGCTAAATGGGTAAGGGGCATTAAGGAATCTACTCCTGAAATCAGTGTTGCACCATATGCTAACTAATTTGGATGTAAATTTTAAAAAATAAAAAATAAAATTAAAAAAAAATAAAAGGTACCCAAACTGGCAAGGAAGAAGTCAAACTTCACTATTTGCAGATGACATGATACTCTGTAGAAAACCCGAAAGACTCCACCAAAATGTTGTTAGAACTAATACATGAATTCAGCAAAGTTGCAGGATATTAAATCAATGCTCAGAAATCTCTTGCATTTCTATACACCACTTATGAAACAGCAGAAAAAGAAATCAAGGAATTGATCCCATTTGCAACTGCACCAAAGAACTACAAGATACCTAGGAATAAACCTAACCAAAGAGATACAAGATCTCTGAAAACTATAGAAAGCTTATGAAAGAAATTGAAGAGGACACAAAAAAATGGAAAATTATTCCACGCTCCTGGATTGGAAGAACAAACATTGTTAAAATGTCTATACTCCCTAAAGCAATCTACATATTTACTGCAATCCCTATCAAAATACCACCAGCATTTTTCAAGAGCTAGAACAAACAATCCTAAAGTTTGCAAGGAACTACAAAAGACCCTGAATAGCCAAAGCAATCTTGAAAAAGAAAAGCAAAGCTGGAGACATCATGATTCCAGACTTCAAGCTATATAACAAAGCTCTAATCATCAAGACAGTATGGTACTGGTACAAAAACAGACACATAGATCAATAGAACAAAATAGAAAATCCAGAAATAGACCCACAACTATATGGTCAACTAATCTTCGACAAAGCAGGAAAGAATATCCAATATAAAGAAATACAGTCTCTTCAGCAAATGGTGTTGGGAAAACTGGACAGCAACATGCAGAAGAATGAAACTGGATCACTTTCTTATACCATATACAAAAGTAAATTCCAAATGGATGAAGGACCTAAATGTGAGAGAAAGCAAACCATCAAAACCCTAGAAGAGAACGTAGGCAGCAACGTCTTTGACCTCAGCCATAGCAACTTCTTACTAGACACATCACTGGAGGCAAGGGAAACAAAAGCAAAAATGAACTACTGGGACTTCATGAAGATAAAATCTCCTGCACAGTGAAG